AAACAAAACCAACAGTGTTTTATCAGGAAAAACTGACACGTTAGCTCTTTTGGATATTTATGTTTTTATGTATGTCCTTTACTTATACATACTACATATACTACTACTTATTATTTTACTTAATCTTCTAACGTTACCTCCAAACTTCACTTAAAATGAAAAATAAAATAAACCAAATCAGATCCAACAAAGCACACACACAATCAACCTCCCCCCACTTTGTGTAGTTAATACAAACTGCACTTACCACTGAGTGAACAATGAATTCACAAGTCTTAGTTAGGTCTTTTGCCAGCAAAGAACGTCGCATATCACACCGCAGGGTATACTGGCAAGAATGGGATGACAAAGAGAAAGAAGAAAGACTTATTTAAGAACTGAAGATTTCCTCCACCTGTTAACTTTCAATCCTTTGAATGGATATATATATATATATATATGCAGAATGCAGATTTTAATATTTAAGGCACAGCAGATTAGTAGGCAATGCATATACCAGTGATGCAGTGGGAAGGGAAGGAGATACAAGGTATACTATTTCAGATGCCCCAAACGAAAGCTAACTTTGTGCTTACAGGCCCATTCCATTTTCAAATGGTCTCATAAGTTATATAACAGCCAGTGAGATCGAGGGACTAATTCACTGACAAAGTAACACTCTTGTATGGCTTGAGCACCCAAATGACATCCAGTTAAGACTGATTTCTGTATTGCTTCTCACCATGCTTTGGTTTAAAGAGAAGGACCTCTAAGTTCCTGCTTATCCTTCAAACTGACAAAACCAAATATACTTAAAGACACTATAACAGAAAACTTTATCCTCTGTTTCCATGGAAGAAGAGATACGACAGGTAATAAAAGCTCAGATTTTCTTTACAGGTAGGACTCCCTTACCTGAATATTAACAAAGACACCATGATATGTCTCATACAGAACTTTGTTGCCCTTCACATGCAATGGAAATTCAAAAGGAATTTCTGTCTTGCCACTGGGAAGCTTCCCTGGTTTTACCATTTCAATAGTGCTGTTAATAATTTGAATAGGCTGCAAAAATAAATATGAAAGTTTAGTTTGAACCACAGTGACAGTTACATCATTTCAAACGAAGCAACAGTATCAGTGAAGTCTAACAGGCTTCAAGAATTTTCCAAAAATTCAGATATTTTTCCTCATACGCAGTTCTCCAGTCTTACAAGGAATGGAAATATTAACAATGTTTCATTCAAAAAAGTGATGTATGATCTATTTAATGGTTGTATCAAAGTAATGACTATGCGCATTTAGAGAACTGAACAGCAAAGTCTCAAGCACCTTGGAAAGCAAAGTGCCATTTTCCAAGTGATGACCTGTAGTATGAGTTGCAGAAATCAACACATGCCAGTTCAGCAGGCAGTCATTCCTCACCACCCTGCTGCCCGCTCGCCCACCACTTCTCACCCTAAAGGTTTCTCTTTATTTTTTATAAGGTTTCTCTTTGATTTATCTCTGGAATTATGGTTAACTAAAACTCGGCATTGGACCAGGAAAGCCTGATAACTGTCATGAAATATGCACACATGAACAGAAACAAAGCAGCAGAAGCAGTGCCGGATGAAAAGATTAAATGTTCTCAGCCCATCTTAGGGAACATCATAAAGGGAACTTTTTTTTCCTCCAGCTCATAATAAAGTGTTTATTACTCAATTAGAAGGGAGCTAATCAATGACTGCTGTGTACACTAGGAAAAGGATACAAGATGACTATAAAGAAGTATGATCACTGCAGCTTTGCTTGAAGATTACACTTCTCTACAGTTTTACTTCTATTTTTTCTCTAGTAAGGTGGAACAAGAAAATCTTATTGCTTCTTCTGTTTTTCTCTTTTTCAATCATTCACAGACAGATTACTGATGCTGCAAACAAAGTAACTATGATACAGATTAAGACTTTAAAGGACCCTACACTTACACTATGCTAACTTTGGCAAACTGCTCCACAAATACAGCTACACTGGCTCTAGACATAGGCAACCTTGCTCTCAATCAATAGAGCCATGTTTGTGTGCAGCCCCAGATAACTTGTCCTGCTAGATTCCAGACTTCATGCTTCCAAACCTGGAGAGCAGGAGAGAGGCCTTCCAGGATTCTGTGCTCAATCTGCTGGACTGCAGTGTCGTACTGCACAGAGGAACCTGTATCGTGCTCAGTAGCAAACAACCTCAATGGCCTCTGCAGAAACTATTGGTGTAACAACTGACCTGGACAGAAGTCCAATTAAACTTTGTCACCGTAGAATGTGTCTCCAATGCATCCTCCAGTAACCTTAGTATTTATGTTACTGCATTTCTGCCCTAAAGAAAACACTCCAATCTCTCCAAAATGGAGAGAGAACGTTAAGCTTCTCTGCTTTCTATCAATTCACTTACCATGAAGTACTGTAACTTCCTGAGAGCCAATAAGGAAAAATCTAAGAAAACTGAGAAAAGCTTCATGCTGAAAATATCAACCTGCACAGGTTCTTACCTTGACAGAATTGTAGAAAGCTTCAAACACACCCACACTTTTGGCACTAAGCTGCAGATTTACAGATCCTTCCATTGTCAATGAGATGCCTTGGTGCTGAACTGTGTCCTTACTTGTTATGACCACAACTCCAGAAAGAATTTCCTAGTAGGAGAAAAGACAACACATAAACAATTGTTCAAAGCAATTCCTGGTATTGCTGTTACACAGACAACGTGCTACTGGATTTTCCAACAACTCAACAAAGCTGTTCCCAAAGTACAGTCTAACCCTGTTAAAAGAGACAAATACTGATAACAAAATAACGTGAGGAACAGACTCCAGTTTGTTTTTGTTAAAAACATTCTCCTTTTCCCAGAAGTACTCATTGAAAATACTTATTCCAAGTTTCAATTGCGTTCCAATGCTTTGAGATTTCCCTCTCCTGGCAAATCTCAGGAAAAATTTAAATACCAAAAGCAGGATGGTCAGTCACAGGGAATGGGAGAGAGACCAGAACTGTGAAAGAGATGCCTGTGCTGAGGATCAGGTTAATCTGAAGAACTGTACAGAGCAAATTAATTAATAAAAACAAAAGCCAGCAACAAAAACAAACAAAAAAATCCACCACTCCACAGATGTTCTGCTACACAAACCTATGCCCTACTATGTGGGAAACAGTTTCAGAGTGTATATGAGTCTAAGGATAAGATGTGTGAACCAAGAGACAGGTCACTTATCCCACTAAGAATTATCTGCATAAGAACATGGCAACTTTTACTTACTAATTTAGAAGGTCTAACACTGAAAAAGAATTAACTGCAGGAAAGCAAGACACATTTCATTTTACATACCCTCATCATTTATCCTTCCCATTTCCTACAATAGAGAATCCACTTCAATCCAGTATTGCATGCCAAAGACTCATACATGTCTGGAAACAGCAGCAAGTGATTTGAGAACTTGGAGGTTTCTTAGGACTAACTCTCTCCTTGTTGATAGTAAAGCTCTGTGTCTTCACCAGGCTTGCAGGCTACACATCAAACTACAGATTCAAACAGTAACTCAGACTGCCCACTCCACGCTCAACCAGTTAGAACCAGTCTAGCTCTGTACACTTGACAGACACTACTTGAATGCTGCCAGCCTTTTGTCTTTACTAGCGGTACAGCATAAGAATATAGAAAATGGGTCAGGCAGTTTAAAGCAGAACAGGGTAGCAGCAGAACATCAAGCATCACAATGAAGGCTGCCATGCTACAGATCTGAGAAGAGGACCTGCAGCAACTGGGAAACTCCAGGAACAGAAGGCACAAGCACAAAAGGACGGTGAAGAAAAGCTGACCTAAATACTGTACTGCTTTGCAAACAGGCTTTAATTAGTACCAGCAATTAGGTTATTGCTTTGAAAAGTGAATACTGCTAAACTATAAGAAGCAAGGACAGCCCTGAACGTATGAAGTGCTTTAGTAAATGAGAACAGACTTCTATCATATAGCAACAATCTATTAGCTATCACCTACACAGCTTCACACAAGAAGGTTCTACGCATTTAGGGCAGAAAGGAGAAGAATGGCTTAAAATTAAAGGTGATTTCTTTCTTTAAACAATAAGTATCTCCTAAGAAATAAAAAGAAATTAAAACAAAAACCTTGAAATCACTTTTCAATGAGCAACTTAAAGAAGTCACTAGTCAGGGGAGAGAGTAGCATCACAAAAGAGATGCTTTAATTTTTATCTGAACTGTTTATATGCAATCAGGTTCTATCTCCATTTTACAAGGGGTGGGAAAATCTACTACGCCTTTTCTTACGAAGAGCTACTTTGTACTTTTTCACATTCTCCCTAAACACAAAGCTTTCAGCACACTTACCCTTTCAAGAGGTACAAATCAAAGAACATAAACATTTCAAGATGGTAAAATACTTACAGTCAGCACACCATTTATGAGAAAGCTTCTTAGTTTTGCAAAACAAAACATAACATTTGAAAAAGTTACTTGGCATCACTAGAGTAATTAGTACTGTCTTCAATTCATACCAAAAGGTATTCATTTATCTTTAATACCTTATCATTCTCTACAACTACCTGAAAGGAGGTTGTAGCGAGATGGAGTTGGTCTCTTCTCCCAGGTAATCATGATAGAGAATGTTGCACCAGGGGAGGTTTAGGTTAAGTATTAGGAAACGTTTCTTCTCAGCAAGAGAGGTAAGACAGTGACACAAGCTGCCCAGGGAGGTGGTGGAGTCACCACTCCTGGAGGTGTTCAGGAGCCGTGCGGATGTGGCACTGAGGGATGTGGGCAGTGGGCATGGTGGGGGTGGGCTGATGGTTGGACTGGTGATCTTAGCTGTCTTTCCCAACTTTAAGGATTCTATAAAGGTATAGAGGAAGTCATCACTGAAATGAAGCCCCACTTATTACAATGGAGTAACTTATCATCAGTTGCTTTTGCTTGCTTTCTACCTTCACAGTTTTCAGGAACTCCACAAGGCTTCACCACATGATGACAAAACTTCACAAAATGGAATAATGCTAATGCATTTCTACAAAGAATCGTTCTCCTAACAAGAGTAACTATCCACAGAAAGGACACCATATCCCATGAAGCAGAGTAGCGCATGCTACACTGAAGCAAAACATGCTTGTGAGAAAACTGTTCCAAGTTAATGATCCCCAAATAAGCTTTTTAGTCTTCTATTGTCAGTTCCTCACCTCTCAAACAGGCACATGAAACTGACAGAAATGTCACAACTACAACGAACACCTGCTTCATCTAATCCAACCGCATCATCCCTTATTTCCGCAGTTCTTGAGCAGAGCTATCTGAGTTTGGCTGAGAACAATTAGGGCTGATTTTTGTTCGGTAAGAAGCAATAGCGCGTAACACAGATCACAGAATCTCATCTCTAAACTCTTAAGACAAGCTGCAACTTCTGACTAAACCAGGCAGCCAATCTGTTTCTTTAAACATGATATAAAGATTCAAAGGATCAAAGCACATAAATGATTTGCTGAGAATTAGTTCTAGTGTTAAAACACATACCAATTCCAATCTGACCACTTACAGTCAAGTCTTCTTGCTTGACTAAGGTGCTACAAAAAGCTTCCAGCTAGATATGATGTACTTTCAGATTGGAGCTAGTCATTTGACAGATAAGAATATTTGCTGATAAGAAATATCAGCCTATTTTATTTTCAGATGAGAGGTACTTTTGAAAAAACACCACCACCAAAATCAATCAAACAGAACAAACCATAAGGCAAGCTTTCAGGACCACCTGAAATCTGCCATCACATGTTTTCAAGTGTTGACAGCAGCAGAAGACATCGTATTGAATACCAATACATACAGAAATGCTTACCAATTATCCAGTTCCAGTTTATATGATCTTTATGGAACCACAGAATCACAAGATTGGAAAGGACCTACAAGATCATCTAGTCCAACCGTCCACCCATTACCCTTGCTACCACAAGCCACTAAACCATATCTCATAGCTCCAATTTTTATCAATTAAGCTTGTCGTTGGTTTGGCAAAATGGGAGTGCATGGTCAGTTGGTTACCAACAAAATGCTCTGAACCTCTTGGGGCTCCTCTTTCCACATCACAAGCCTTTAATTTCAGGACTAAGGGCATGAATTTGGCAGTTTTAGACTTTCTATTAAGTTCACTTAAGTCCCACTTACTAAATGTTCTTCATCGTTTTCTGCCAAGTGTATTATTCTACCCAACTGATCCACCAGCAGATCTTAACTACACATTCTTCTGATTCTTTACACAGAAAGAGACTGCATTTAATAGGAAAACCCTGCTATATCCAACTAACAGGACATCAGACGTTCAACCTCAATGTTCAGTATTACTAAGCAGTTTGCTTTGTCAGAAACAATAAAAAGCTTCTGTGTAGGCAAATTCTAACTTAAGTATATTTTGGAGTCACTTGTCATTAAAAGCCTTTTGCTGACATTAATCATGGCATTCTTCTTTGTATGCTGCATTTTTCAGTCTTTTCAGCCTCCAATTCTTTTAATTATCCATTTTGGGCTAACTACCACAGATATTCCAGTCATCCTGTTAGGTTTGCTAAATAAAACACATCATTAGCTGTGCCTGTCCCCTCTCATTCTTCCAGCATTCCAAAGTTTGTTAAATCAGCCTCAATAGCTTGGAATTTTCTCTTCAATTAAAAAAAAAAAAGGGGGTGAGGGGAGGAGGGGGAAAAGGGGAAGTCTCCTGAACACTGATCTTCTGTTCCTAGTTGCTGCAGTAAGCCTTATTTTGGTATAACAGAACTGGCTATTAAGATCTATTTTATTATCTTTTTGTTCTTAAATCCCCAACCACTTTTCCCTTGCCCCCTAACAATCCTATTACTCTTTTTGCTCCAGGAAGTGGCGAATGTGCTGTTGTTCTTTACCCCCACTTTAAGGTCACTTGTTTAAACCAAGCTTACTCAAATTGAACTCTGGAAAAAAAATTAAAGGTCTTTGTTTGCTTATTTCCTCCAGTTTCTGATGGTCACAAGCAATGAACATAGAAATGGCTTACCGATTATCACAGCAAGTTTTTAGTTTTTAAAGCAGTGATTTGGTGTCATGCACAACTATTTTATAAATGTTATGTCTGCTTTCTCCCAGTTAAAAAAATAACAATTAACATAGAAGAAAAGAGGAATTAAAAATAACAGTTATTGCCAAGATACTGCCTTGCACTAAAAAAAATAAATAAATAAATAAATAAATAAAAATTAGGAGGAGAAGAGATTTCAACTTGGCAAGAAAGACTGTTTTGTAATGATGAAAAATGCTCGAATTCAACTGGATTTAATATAACCAAGGTCACTGTACCAGGATGAAAAGTAACCTGACCCAATCCAAGACAGCAGGGAACAGTAATTTGAAGACTGAATGATGCGGCTATTTCAGCACCAAGGAGAAATTTAGAGGTCTTGGCCTTATGGAGAAAGCCTAAAGAAAACCACACATACCACTCCAACCTTATAAAAAGCAAAAAATGAGAAGTTACTCAGATGTTATTAATTTTCCTTGCCAGCTATTTACTTCGGACACACACATTCTTCTCTCACCAGCCTTCTCTTATGTACTTTGAACAATATTTTCACCTAACAAGAACAGAAAAGAGTTGTGCAATAACATTAAAGTTAACAAACAGTTATCTTTAAGCATTTCTCCCTAGAAGATTTTTATATAAACTCCCACACATTCAAGGCCTTCATTATTATGGAATTCACTATGAGAACCTTTGAACTTGTTAAATATGGGTCTCTCTCATATCTGTTTCCCCTCACCCCTTCCCTCTTGGAGGTAACACAAAAATACAGCAAATGCTTTCAGGAGACTGAGAGATGCTGAATAGCATACACTCAACAGATCCAGAGATGTAAAAGATTTCATGCATTGTCACATTATAGAGAACTGGAGCTCAAATGGAAGAACCAGCAGCCATTGCCACTTCTTTGGTCTACAAGGACCTAGAAGCACAGGCTGAGATTCCTCAGACTTCTCTTCATCCACACAACTTTATCTGTTTTGTCCAGTTTCCTGCTCTCTTGGAGCTGTTCCACTCTGTGCAGTCTCCATTCCATAGGCCACCCACTGCTTCTTAAAATAAGAAAGAGATCACCTTAAGTACAACTTCATTGATTCCTGCATGAATCAGGAAAAACCTACAGACTCAAGTACGTCACATAATTCCACAGGCTTAGTGTTGAAATCGTAACCAATGTGAGGAGATGATAGAAAAAGTAACTACACTACCATAACCCTATACCATTTAGATGGGTGTTAAAGCCAAAACAATACTCAGAAGTTATAGAATCACTGAGAGGCATGTATTAAATTAAATATACCAGAATACTACATATCAGCTCCCAGAGCAAATACTTCATACCTACTTAGGAGTTCAAGCAGACTGTCTTTAAAGCAGTCCGCTAAAAAAAAAAAATAAACACCAAACAATTTCTTTTATAATGCACACAAAAACAAGCACAAGGAACATTAAAGGTTCCTTGACTATCCATCTGCTTAATTATGCAAAAATATTTACCTACACAGACAAATGTTATCATACTTTAATCAGAGCTATCTCATAAGCTTCCCAGAACTGAAAGTTAGGGCATGTTTCTGCTGTCACCTTTTCCTACACATCCAGCACAAGTCCATTCTGATACTGATTGTTATACACACTGTGTTACACTCTATTTGAGAAGCCATTCATAAGAAAACAAAGAAGGGATATCCGATTCAACAGATTTGATTCTCATATATATTTAAGAGTCACTCCATCCAAATTCTATCCATTGCCCTCCTCTGGCTCACCAGGCAACACCATCACTGCAAGAAAGGCAGCAGACACTGAATGGCTGTGAAAGCAAGTTGCACTGTGAAGTTATGCTGTATTAATCATGGTTTCAGGCAAATTATGATTTCGAAAGCTTTGTGCTATTATCTCCTAATAGGCCTAACCACTGCACAATTTGAACATCACTGGACTTGATACTCTCCAGAGGTCCCTTCTAATGCCTACAAACTGATTCTGTTACCATCTTCTTTCATATCCAAATGCAGTTTTAAATGAGTTTGGAAAACGAAAGATCAATTCAAGCCCCACTATCTCCACTGCCTTCATATAAGTAGAAAGACATCTATATTGGGATGAGCTATGGTTTTCACTACAGGAATCCCCTCATTTTCAAGTAGTGTTGATGAAAGCATTTTTTGAGTTGAAAGTTGTCATAGACTGAAGGTATTATTAGCATAACTGATGTCAGCGAAGCGTACAACAATCAGTACATTTCTAAAAAAAAAACACCCTTAAAGTTGCACGTGTTTCATGCCTAATTAAGGAGAGATCTGTAATGCCTTCCAATGCCTAGGAAATTACCATCAAAAATTCTTATTGTACTCCTAACGGACAGCTCACTGCTGTTTCACATCACTCAAACCTCAGAATTCCAGACCTCATTAACGAACTAAAACAATAAACCTCCTCACGTGGAGTTTGAGTGACAGTAAACACACCACACAGATCTACTAATGATAAAAATCTTACTTAATTTCAGCTTGAAGACAGAAGAAATATCTGTTTTCTTGTACTAAAAAGATCAGTCTTGTTTGGCATGATACAAAAGGAAGCCTAGCAGAGAAACTAAAAAGAAACAAAGCAACAAAATAATAAAATGATGAGAAGGTGAGAAAGAGAAGAGCATTTACCACCAAAATATAACACCCAAAGGGTGTGAATGACAGCTTAGCTTTATGAATGCTGCTGTCTCGATGATTCGACAATTGCAGAGTAGATGTTCCATAACCTTCCATTCAAAACCGTTTAAAGCAGTTTCCCAGAATTAAAAGCATTCAGTAAGCCAAAACATGGTTAGATGCTGTATGAGACAAACTGCTATCACAGAACCATTAAAGTTGAAAAAGACCACTAAGATCACTGAGTGCAGCCCACCCCCGCCATGCCCACTGCCCACGTCCCTCAGTGCCACATCCTCACGGCTCCTGAACACCTCCAAGGGATGGTGACTGCACCACCTCCCTGGGCAGCCTGTGCTACTGCCTCATCACACTTGCTGAGAAGAAATTCTTCCTCATATCCAACCTAAACCTCCCTGGTGCAACTTGAGGCCATTCCCTCTCGTCCTGTTGCTGTTACATGGGAGAAGAGGCCAACCCCACGTCACCACATCCTCTTTTCAGGTGGTTGTAAAGGAGCGAAGCCAACTGCTCTCGAAGGGAATGAAAAAGAGACTGAAAAAGTCACAGCATTTTTCAAATAGCTGCAAAAGTTAAACTACACAGAACCACTTTGCCACATACAACAACCACATTCGTGTAAAACTGTTAAGAAATCGGTCAGGAAAAAAAAAAAAGAAAAGAAAAAAAAAGAACAAGAACTCAATCAGAGGAAAAAGCAAAGTAGAACTGCTCTTGCCTGTAGACCGTATCTAAGAGGGTATTACTCCCTATCAGGTACAAACAACAGCGCTCACCCCGCAGCGGTACACCTTGTTGGCCCGCTTGATCTTGATGTCCAGCGCCGTGCCCATCGCGCCCTGACAGGACGGGAGCGGCCCCTGCGGGAGGAAACCCACCCCCGTCACTCTCTTCCGCCCGCGGCGCTTGAGGCAGCCGGCGCCGCCAACATCCGGGGCTGCGTAGCGTCATCCTGCAGCTCGTGACTACGCTTCCCGCCCCGCCCTCCCGCTTCCTGGCACGGGGAGCGGCCCTAACGGTCGGGCTCGGCGCGGCCTGGGCGGGCTTTCCCGTGCGCAGCCGTTGTGGCGCTGCTGAGGGGACTGCCCGCCTCGGCGGGAACCGGGGGAAAGCGAGGGGAAGGCCAGCGTCCAGAAGAGGCTGGGCGTAACTGAGTTACGCTGAAGGGAATTACAGTCTTAAGGAAAACGTAAAGAGTCTGTAAATAAATACATAAGGGCTGGAGTTGTCACTGTTACAGTTACACGTACGACTCAGCACGCTGCATTTCATAATGTGTGCAGCCTGCGCTCTGAAAGTTGTCAGCAATTTGTTTTATGAATTTAAGAAGGCAATGCCTTGTAAAATATAAAGTGAGAAAATCCGTCAAGCAAACAAAAAAATCTGAAGGAGAGAAATATCTGGTGGATTCACTTCAACTAATGAAGTGATTTGTCTGCCTCCACCTTGCACTGGTGCGGCCTCACCTTCAGAGCTGTGTGCAGTTCTTGGCACTGCAGTACAGAAAGGCCATAAAGCTGTTAGAGAGCGTCTAAAGAGGGCTACAAAGATGAGGAAGGGTCTGAGGGATATGAGGAGCGGCTGAGGCCCCTCGCTGTGCTCAGCCCAGAGCAGAGGAGCTGAGGGGAGGCCTGATGGCGGCTGCAGCTCCTCACAGGGAGCGGAGGGGCAGCGCTGAGCTCTGCTCTGTGTGACAGCGACAGGGCCCGAGGGAACGGCATGGAGCTGTGTCAGGGGAGGGCAGATGGGGGTCAGGGAAAGGGTCTGCACCACAGGGCTGTGGGAGTGGAACGGGCTGCACGGGGCTGTGGGCATGGCCCTGGGTGATGGAGTTAAAGGAGAGTTTGGACAATGCTCTCAGAAATAGGGTTTGAATTTTGGGTGGTCCTGTGTGGAACCTGGAGCTGGACTTGGTGATCCTTATGGTTCCCTTCCAACTGGGGATGTTCTATGCTTCTAATACATGTGGCCATGTGTCAGCTCTGAGGGAAATGGTTAAAACTCCCACAGATACAGAGCACAAGTAGTTAATTCCTGCAATTTCTGTGGGTCCAGGACTCAGCCACCAATGGTATCTCCAGTTCCAGAGGAAATCTACAAAGTGTGAATCCAAAGCATTCAGCTGAGATGTGGCAAATGCAGACCTTACCAGCCTCAGAGAAACAACACCATTCTTTCCTCATCTTACATGATGGGAACTTTTTAATTTACTCTTAAACAATTTCGTTGGTGGCAGAGGTGGAGGGCAGATGGGATCATACATTCACAGAATATCCCAAGCTGGAAGGGACCAACAAGGGTCCACAATTCCAGCTCCTGGCTCCACACAGCACCACCCAAAATTCCAATCCTATGTCTGAGTGTGTTGTCCAAATGCTCCCTCAACTCAATCAGCTCAGTGCTTTGACCATTGCTCTGGGGAGGCAGCTATGGTGAGCAGGCTTTACAGTGAGTGACATGGATGTACTGCATTGGTGGAAGGTAAAGACATTTTTCTGCAGTCTTGTCTTCCAATAAGGCTTTAGTTGTCCCGGAATAGAGAGTTGTGAAGCTGCTCATTGGTGATATTGTGAATCTTTGAAGTCTGAATGCTAGGTTTTCATCACCTGAGCTTACTAATTAGTATTATTTATTGCTATTTGCAGTGAAAATTGATAAATAATTCTTGAAGGCATTTGAGAATGAATAAGCATTCCAAGAATTCTGGAGTCATCTTTATTTTAATTTTATTACCTTGGTATAAATAATTGTCCTTTTTTAGTTATTGGTATTTAGAAGATACATTTTCTTAGCTTCAAATAGCTCAAAAAAATAAATACAAGTCTGGAGGTACCATGTCCTAGCAACAGCATGCAGAGATCATTCCTGAGCACTAATGGGCTCCAGAAATGGCAGGAGGGAAGCACTCAAGTGACATGAAGAACTCCAAGCCTGTGTTTAGCCTTCCCGGCCATGTGAAGCCAAGATGATTCTAGCCTATCTCCTCTCACTCCTGTGCACACTTTAGTGCTAAAAGTGATGCTGTATTAAGGACGAAGACCACCAAAACACTATGCCATCTGTGCTGCTTAAGTGCTTATGGAAAGCTTGGCCAAACAAACGAAACTCAACAAAACAATACACACTTGTAATTTTTGTTCTGGGGAAAAAGTGGAGACTGCTGTCATTAAACATTCTGCAGAGTGTTTCAAAAACAGAATCTAAGTGCTAAGAGAAAGGAATATTTAGTTACAAAGGATTAGTATTGTGTTTCATAACTAGTCACTGTTGCTAGTCATTTTGCGACAGGTAAAAAGGAACTTATTTTTTCTATTTATTTTCTATCCCAACAAAGAAGAACCAAAAAGAGTATTTGCCCAGATAGTGCAGTCGTCTTCAGAGTATGTAAATTCTCTGACATTGCTTTCACAATCAAGTGTTTATCATCCTTAGGAAACTTTTGAAGGTACTTCAGTTACTTATTTCTAGGAACTGAGGTCTCACGTCCAGAAAAAGCTCCCGTTGGTACAAGCTGTAGCTGCCCTCCTGCCTAGCAACACAGATCATCACAAACAAATCCGTCTGGAGCACCCTGGCTCCCAATGAAACAGTGTCCAAATACGGTCTCTGTATCAATAGTTCAGCAAGCACTCTTTGTGCAATTCTTCTTGCCAGCGTTGGATGATAGTTTCTTCTTGACTGCAGTCTCTGATTCAAGGTATGTTCTGTTGGAGTAGTGAGGCTGGTGGCAAAAATAAAGAGATCTGCAGATGCGGTCATCATTGTTTCTAAATGTCTGGACTAAGTTAATACTAGTTAGAACAACTAGAGATGCTTTGGCCAGTTTGGGGCCAAATACCATCCTCATCTCCTCAATTCATGTTTCCAAATATGAAATACATTTTAAATGTTTTTATTTATGTATATAATGCATTTAATTGTCCTTTCTCCTTTTAACCAGTTTTATTTACAGATTAGGAAAAAATTGTCTAATCCAGTTCTTTAAGGGGAAGATTGTGAGTTCCCAGGTGATCATTTCTTACATTATTTGTTTGTCGTGCTACTAGTTACAGCCATAACTATATTTATTCATAAGAATTGATCTCTTCTGATTGATCAAAGTCATAAATTTTCTCTACTAAATACACTATTTACCTCATAGGGAATTATTTTGAAGATTTCAGCAAAATGAGTGACAGTTTGAGTTTTAGAGCAAAAGCTTGAAATTTGGCAGGGAGTTCTCTCATTGTCAGGGGGAAAATGCTTCTTCTGTCCACTTGAAAAATCCATTCCAAATTTGGAGAAATGATGAGACTGAAAATTTTAGGCTTTGTTCAGCCAATGGGAGGTACTTCATAGCGTTGCAGTTTTATACACACCAACCACCTCCAATCCGGAAGTGCAGGAGTGATGAAAAGGGAGTAAAAGGTACTGGGCTACATGAAGGATTATTGCAGCATACAGGCCCTGGGCCAGGGCACCTCTCAGTCTCCTTGGCTGTCAGCCAGCACTCCTGGTGCTTAGCACAAAGCAAGTGCCCTCCTGAGGGCAGGTCCTGCCACATGAAGGTAACAGCTGGTATTGTTCAGAATCAACTTAAGCAGCAGTGATCCATGATGGGGATAAAGACATTTTTGTCCAAGAGATGAATGTGGGAATCACTGCTGTTCCATATAGCAGAATCTGGGAGGGTTTTTCGTTACTTTCCTCAGTTTCTAGGTATTCATAGGTACTAGTAAGACTCCAGAGTGAAAGAATGATAGGTTTGGTAATTATAAAGTCAAGGTTACTCTGCAGACTTCAGGTGTTCTGTGTGTATGCATTTTAATGAAAAAAAATCATTCTAAATATTTCTGTTCCTCAAAGTAGTTCCTCTATTTCCCTTCCCACTATTTTTTTATATGTAGTTTTATTTAGGAGATAGAGTTTGATTTAGGAGCGTAGAAGATACTGTCACAAGACAGCTCTTTACTACTTAATTCATATCAGTGTTACTGATGTTGGTTCATGCAGTGCTACATTCAGCTACAAGAATAAAATTAAATATTTATTGTTATTGTTTATTCCTGTTTGTTTTTTCTCTCCCCCCCCCCCCAAAGAACTAGGGTACATATTTTGCTTTAATTCATACTGGATATAATTCTACTTGCAGAATGAACCAAATGCAAACTTGAATTTGAACTTCTGTCATTAAGTTTTGTTGACCCTGAGCAGGGACTGGACTAAAAGATCTCTTATAAAAGTTGAACCTAAACTGAAAGTAAATGAAAAAAATATATTACATTCAGTAGAATGGCCCATGCATTTGTTTTAACTGACCTTAAAATATTATTTTAAGAAGTATGTTTAAATTGTTCAGAATAGTCAGATTTCTTTTTTTGTCTCAATACAAGGCTGAAATTTATGCATTAATATGTATCATTTTACTGCATTTGTAACTTGAAATAAGCAAAATATAACTGCCTTTGCCTAGAGAACGGCAATATATTTAAGGAATTCAGTGGAAGAAGTTGTTCAGGTAATATGAAATCATACCTGAAAGTCCACTACTTGTCATCAGAAGAATATAGAACACACTGCTGAGAGAGATTATTAAGGCTAATAAAAGAATTATTATAAATATTCATTTATTTAATAATTTTTACTTGCTTTATGGAAACATATGCTTGACAAACCAAAATGAGACCTCAGGAGTGGAAAAGCCATTCTCTGCTTCTAAGTAACACAGAAGTGCTGTACTTGATCCACTAAACAACATGGAACATATTTAAATTCATTATCTTTGGTCATAAATCATGCCAAAGCCCCTCATCGCATCACATAAGTGTTTGGTAGGGCTCTTGAATGCTTCAGAAACAAGGAAGATGATGAAAAAGAAAAATCTTTACTGCACATAGGAGCTGTATACACATTAAATCTTAACCACATTTTCTGAAATGCTTCTCATCGCACAGAAAGTTATTTTTCTTTCAAAATTATCCTTTAAGATTTATCAGGCTTGGAAGAACCATGCATGGATATAGACAAGAAAAGGCTGTAAAAGGCTAGTCAGTGAAACTTAGTTGAAGAAGAGTCCATATAGAAGATACTAAAGAAAGCCAGATAATACATAAATATATAAAAAAAAGAAAAAAGTACTCAAAGACTAGCAAACAATAGACATAAAGTTGAAGGAGGTATGTGTACATCCATTGTACTTATCAGTTAGAGGGCCACACTCAGCTATTAAGAAGCAAAAAAGATGAGATTCTGTGCTATTGAAATCTTCAGAGCTACTTTGTGAGAACTGCAGTTGGCAGCATGATGAGAACTCCACTACAAGGGGTAAAGACATTGCAAACTGATTGGTCACAGGAAATGTGGGGGTACTTGTTGTGTCAGGAGGCAAAGCAGTGCTGGAAGCTGAGCTGTTGAAAAAACAGGAAATAGTTAAACAGTTAATTCCATAAACAGGATAATATTTGGTTATGAATCCTGAAGGCTTTTAAGAACCAAGTAACATTTCTACACCAAAATGCATCGTTTTTAACAGAATTGCCACAGATTAAATGTGATTAGCTTGTTTGAAAAAAAGGGCTAGAACTGAGTGAAAATTGCA